ATTTGACCGGGGTTCCTTCAGAGTTTATTAGCGGTGTTTTGAGAATTGGCTCCGCAGTTTATCCATCACTGTGAATAGGCAACATATATATATATATATATATATATATATATATATATATATATATATATATATATAGACGTCTAAGCTTAACCTCTTGTATTCCTTTTTTCAAATATGTTCTGTTCTAGTTTAAGAGCTCATCGATACAATGTCATCAGAACACTGCCCATCTTTGCTTGACTACACAACGTATGTAAATGTGAATCAGGTCTGTTTATTCTGTCTGGGATGACTATGTTATCTGAGCTATTGTGATCTAGACATCAAAGCGGAGCTACAAGAACCCAAGACATGAATCTCAAGTAGACTTACATGCTCTCTGACTTCTTTTCATTTTGATAAGACCTGTTTACTGCCCCAGCTGCAAAGTTGAAGCCTTTGCACTCCTGATGTTCGATAATTATCTTCTCACGTCACTCGGGTACATCATCACGTCTCCTCCTCTCACGTGTCGTGTTTTGGTTTTGTTATTTTTTAACTAAATTAAAAATAGCCCCGCTGAGACGGGGTCTTTGACTGCGAGAGAGAGTCTGCACTCCAGCTGATTCTCTCTTCATTTGGGTTTTATTCTCTTCAGCTCCCTCAGATGTCTCCTCTCCTCTCTGCTGATGAGAGCAGTCCGCGCTTTCATCTCCACTTTACTCGTCCTTCCATCTTTTTATTTTAAGAATGTGTGCAATGGATTAGTTCTCCCCTTGAAAAGACTTTGGATTAAGATGTGTGGAGGGGCAATGGAGAGGATGAAGAAGAGAGTAGAAGAAAAAAGGAAAGGAGGACATGATAAGGAGAAGAAGAGAGTGAGAGGAAGTGGTGTGAAGAGCAAAGGGTGGGGAAACACTCAAGGACTCAAAGGAGGATAAGAGCATCATAGTGTGTGTGTGTGTGTGTGTGTGTGTGTGTGTGTGTGTGTGTGTGTGCGCGCGCGCTTACGTGTTGGACTAAACATCAATGAAGTTTGACTGCTGTTGGTGTTTGGTATTCAACATCTGTGCAGCTTCGTGTCCGTCCTGTCCAGTTTGTGATCGAGTGTGTGTGTGTGTGTGTGTGTGTGTGTGTTATTAGTAAGCTGTTACCGGGTGTTTATTATCAGTCTGTTGGCTCCTTTTGAAGAATAACAAAAACCTGACTCGCTGTTGCTATGCGACTGTTTACGACTGTTCGAAACCAGTTTGAAGCCCTGCGCCTGTTTTGCTGGAGCGCCCGCTGAGCCTGACGGCTAGATGCACGAACGCCACGCAGAGCTGTCAGGGGACTTCAACGTTCTGTTAAAAAACAAAGGAAGTTGCCAGAATGGGAGGAACTCCTTTTGTGACATGTCTATAGGTCTGTCGATCTGACACCTCTGCGTGATGACATCACACTGTGACCTCATTTACGTCCGGTATTAAAATGTGATCTGCATGTGCTGGTTCCACCTCGAAGATGAAGCTAAAAGCCTGCCAGACACAACAAATCAAACGAGTGAAGATAGCAAGGCAGACATTCGGACTGTCTCTCGTCAAAAGGCATTCATGACATTGCACTTCGCTGCGCACGCAAAAAGTGACTGAAGTTATTGTGTAAAGAATGACGAGAGAGCTCTGAGGAGAAGTTCTAACCCTGCTTACTTTCACAGGCTGATCTCTGCAGAAAGCGGCCGTGGTCTCCTCTATTGTCATCAGGAAGGGTGTTTCAGATGCTGTGAGATGATTCAACAAGCACTTGGTTTGAAGCATACGCTCAGTCATACACTTTATATTGTAAGTCTGGGTTCATTCTGAAAACGCATGCCATAAATTCAATGCGTTTAACAGGCAACATGGACCTGTGAGTTGTGACGCACACGGTCAGAAAGCTTCACGTCAGCTCAGCTGTAGTGACCGCATTAAAGTCAATCAATTTAGCCCAATCAGATACAGTATATTCTACTGTAGGTGCAGTAACTGGTATTGGCTTAACCTGCGAATAGAAAATGAACAGATATGTGATTACTGTAATTTTAAGCAGTGAGCAAAATCATTTATAAACAAAGTTACATCAATATTAATTAATCGTGTCCATGTAAAATCAAACAAGTCACTATTTCTTCCTTGTCATAGCGTGACTCATGCACATTTTTCTTATTGGTTGCAATTAAAAGTGCTTGTAGGATGTTAAAAAACACAAATCTGTGCAACAGCATAAAACCCAGCACATCATCCCATAAAACTCTCTGGCTTTGTGGTGATGCTGCTGCACCTCCTGCTCGTTGCTCTCTATATTCAGACCGTGCAGGTGATGAAGGGGATTATGGTGATATTGTATTTGGGTCGCCCTTTAAGGTCACTCATGCGCAAACAACAAACAGCAACAATCTGAGAGATGATGTGGGAGTTTCTGTTCTGCCAAAACCAAAATACCTTTCAGCCTCATAACTCATAATTAATATGGCCAATTTAATTGGCTTTTTTTTTTTTTTTTTTTTACATTTTTAGTGCACTCCATTCAGTTTGTCTAAAAAGGGTTCGCAGACTAACTGTGTGAATGTGAATGACTCAGTGTTTTACATACTGTAAATATGTTCTTTACACTCGTATGCAAGAAGTCTGGCTGTGGTGAGTTTGAAGCTTTTTTCCCCCCTTGCTCATAGTTTAAGTTCTCCTTTGTTTGTTTGTTTTGGCGGGATAACATGTAGCTGTATGAGTAACACGTTTACATTTTTTAAATGTTAAAACGGGTATTTTGCTTTGTTATTGAGTGGAAAACATTTCACTTTCTTAGCAGCTCATTGTAACCTTTTTTTAGAAAACATTCAGCTGGAGAAACTGCTTTCCTCTGCTGAGAAGCATGAAACTAGAAGGTACAGTCCATAACCACGGAGGGCATTGACAGTTGGTGAAAAGTGCTGGCTAATGGGCTTCTGCTATTTATATCAGAATCTATAATGAGAGGTTTGTCGGAAACTGGCTGAGCTAGTTATGGTCCTCTATGAAAGCCTTGTGAATATGTTTCATAATAAACAATGCTCAAATATATATTATTGGTAAAAGGTATTTCATTGCAATGTTTCTTATTTTAGGCGAGGCCCAGCAAGTGTTTTGTAAGCATACGCTCCTTGTGGGTTGCATAGTACGCTGGGAAATTGCAGAAATTGGAGTATAACATTGTTAGGAGTTGAATGAAAGCAAATGGCATCCAGAGGGAGAGAAATAGCATGGTAGCTGATAACAGCGTGTACAAATCTATCTTCTTTGAGATTGAGGGCACGCTGAAAATAAGCATCCTCCCTTTTGGCAGAAATGATCCTTTCAGCAGAGTGAAGATGTACACTTTGGCCACCGTACAAATCCACAAAGCAAAATTTCTCTCTTTCACACACGAAACACGTGCACACAAACACATGCACAGATCTCATCATCATGCTTTCTCTATACTCTTTTCCTGAATATCTATTTTTTCTTCATCTCCCACAGCAGTCTCAGTGGGATGATAAGAAAATAAAGGTCACGACTGCTTTAACCCCCGTCCTGATTATATATTAGTATGTTACAGAACGTATACAGCCGTTACTCTCAAGGCTTGCTTGTTTTTGCTAAGGTGATGGCGATGACAGCTGTCTCAAGTGGCAATTAGAAATCTGGGGTGTGTGTGTGTGTGTGTGTGTGTGTTTTAGGCATTTTTTATTGTGATGCCAGTTAAATGATGTATGCTGTTTCTCTTGAGATATCAAAGAATGACTCAATGAATGATTTTTTTTTGAGAGGGTTGTCATGAAAGTTGTTTATTCTTTGAGCACTGATACTTTAATCCCCATTCATTTTCTGGCTCCGTTCCCCTCAGCCCTGTGGAGTGCCTCAGCATCTCTCAGCTCATTGTTATAGTTTGGGTCACTCTCACGGCTCTCATCAACCTTCTTTCCAGACTCGGCAAACCAGCTCTGATAAACTGGATGCTATCTGCCCAGCACCAAACGGCACATACAAGTAGTGGAGCATTTAGCAGCCTAACAGCCAAATAGTTCTTGCAGGAGTTGGTGGAGGCCAAAAAAAGGGATAAAAGAAAGTGAATGTTGGACTTAGGCCAGTCGCCTGAAACACCTAACTCGTCATATTGGCTTTATACGGTGAATGCTGCGACCCATGTGATCAGAATAAGTAAATGAATGCAGTTGTAAGTGATCAAAATAAGTTCAAACAACATTCCATATAACGTACAATTTTGTAAACGTATAAAGAGCCCAATACAATACAGCATGACAGCTCATTTTTATCTTATCACAAATATATCATATTTGGTGTGCAAGTCAGCTGGCAAGCAACTTGCCATAATATAGAAACTGCAATGCCTTTACGTTTATTAGAAAAGGATCTGATCCAAGTTAAAGGCAAGTTAATTATCTGACATCAATATGTTGTAATATTGGAATGGGCTTAATCCAGTATACGCTTGGCTCTGTAAATAGCACAGTACATGCTCCAATGTGTTAACATGTCTATTACTGTCACAGCTACCACAGGACAAAAGTAAACGTGACTAAACGTTCTTATCCACTCTGTAATTATACCGAAGAAGATGCACTGAAGACTTTGATATTTCCATGGAGACCGCTCATTGAAAGTGTCTGAGTTAGTCCCCTATGGTCACACGTACGTTAACAGGCACGTCTACTTTTTGCTGGAAAATAAGCACTTGAAATGTGTTCAGGGATGTCGTGCTGCTGTGTGCTCGTTGAGGGCAAAAGGCCGGTCAACTGTGAAATCTGCTGCAATGACCTTGTGTTTGAGGTAGAGCACCTGCCTGAACAGAATTGCACATGCAGCTGGAAGTTAGGATGATGTCTGATAGTGTCCTATCTAAGCCTGGGTCTCATCTTGATCAAGCATGTGTTCCAGATGTGATGGAGATATGTCATTACTGTTTATTTAACCTTTGTTAATCCCCTGTTTCACTACTTTGTTTCAGTGGTAGTATCAGTCTTAAGTGATCCATAGACTAATTAGCCTTGCATTGGTAGGGAAACTAGTACGTACATGTGCGCGTGCGTCTGTTTATACTCATACGCATCTGCATGCGCGCGCACTGTCCATATCCATACTCCTTCGCCTGCGTCGTGTCGCTCATTACGTTTCGATCCATGCGGGGCTCCTGCGCGTGCACTCGGCATTTGGCGGAGAGGAGCGCAGGACGGTCGGTGGCGTGCTGCTGCTTGCTGATACCAGGGGGCTCAGTTCACCACGGTCCTCCTCCCAGCAACGGTGGAAACAAGTACGAGATTCCATCGGTGCTCGGTCGGGGCTGCTGCGCATCTGGACCCGACAGTGTCCCCGGGACGATTACGCGTCGACGCGCTCCGCTGGACGTCTCCCTGTCCCGCTGCCCACACACAGGAAATAATCACACCGGTTGAGGACAGTTTGGCTTTGTTTTTGACAGAATGGCAGGCGCAGAGTGCCTTCTGAAAACGCCGAGGTAAGAGACTTTATCCTGCCGGGATTTAAAAAGAAAAAATGTCGATGGTCACAGGCGCATTTATTCCCAAACGAATTGAACATGTCAAATGTCTTTGGGTACTTAAATTGTACGTCTGCTGTTCATGAATATCTACTTCATAGTGTTTTTGTTGCATATGTGTTGCCACTTTAACATTCTCCTATAAATATCACATATGGATTAACTACACCTTTTTGAAATATAGTACAGTATTTTTTTTTTTTTTTTTACAAAACCACTGAGGTGATCGTGATGTTTGATGTTGCATTGGTTCAAAGCGTGGTGATCTTTTGACTGTGCAAAGTGTGTCACTTTGTGTTCAGTGCTGGAGAACAACATCCACGCAGAGTGATGCAGTAAATCCGCTTTCACAGTCCACTGTCAGTGTTTGTGCATTCAACAAGATGTTTCAGCTCGCCTGGCCTGACTGATAGATGTATGGCAAGAAAAAAGTGCACAGCAGTCGCGTTTAAAATAGAAATGTAAACACTTGGTCAAAAGGTTTCTGCAGTCTTCAGGACCTAAACCTGCCACATGGATCATTTTGTGCAGTTGAATCCGAGGGCTGCCACCAAAAGTTGCTTGTTTGTGCGCCACTTAAATGGCCCACACAAGCTTTCACAGTAAATTACAACCGCGGACCGGAGGCAGTCATTGAGAGACAGACATTTCATGTGTTAATTGCGTCTTCAACTGCAGGCGGATGTCTGGCAGCGCGAGAGCGCTACGACCTGTCAATCATTACCGAGTCGTGATGGAAAGGTCGTAAAGCGCAAAGATTAAAAATGAGGTCGTGCATGACGAATCTTATCCCGCTGGTCTTCTTCTATTTCGTGCGGAAATCACTCATAATTTGCACGAAGAACACAGACAGGCCAGTAGGCCTGTGCTGTTTCTTTTTTTTTATAGCGTCCCATTTTTTGCAGTGTCGTAATCTTTTAATTTTATGCATGCATCCAACGTGTGTGTGTGTGCGCGTGTACATGTGTGTTTGATGGGTTTTTTGATGCGTGTCTGGCAGATACAGCAGCACATTCAAAAGTACATCATATCCACTTATCTCCAGTAAGGCATCATCACTTTTATTGTGACACAATTATTTATGCAGGCATGTTCATTAACTGCAAATAGATAGGGTTGTGTCATCCCTGGGGGCCTTTCAAAATATAATGCTTTTTAATTTGCTTTGAAATATGTGGATTATAGGGAAAAAAAAGCTGCTACTATTTAAATATTCCTCCCTATCCTCCTTAATTTTCCAAATTGATCCCCATTAATGCCATTCCAGATACGCTTTGATTTACCTTATCTCAGTGAACGCATGCACGGAGGATAATGATGCCTTCCTGGGATCTTGAGTTTGCTATGTCGTGTTAAGGCACGCCGTAGGCTGACAGACGCTCCCATCACTACAGATTGTTTATAATCATTTAGTTTCAAGCATCAGATGAGGGAAACATGTTGTGTTTCCCCCTTTGTTCGGCTATATCCTCTGGCGCCGTCGCTGTCAAAGTCAATTTTCACGATTTGGCAAAGTGGCCGTGAATCTTTGAGACTTTAATGCTTAGATTGACACCAATAGCTGCAACTCGCTAAGGGGGTCAGTGAGTTTTGCATTCATGCAATGGAGTCTGTGCCACGAGCGTATTTATGCAGAGAGAAGACATCATAGAAATCCATAAAGAAACTCTTTTTCTATTGTAGCTTAAAAGAAGCTACAGCGGCTTCTCGTAAATAATAATGTGATAAAAAGGTCTCGACATTCACAGAGCAACACCGAAAACTCTTTTGCACTCTTTAATAAACAATGGAAGGTGTCACCTTGGACGGCCATACACTTGTACATTCTCTTAAATGGGGCAATAGAGGCTGTGCTGGCACTGTCTTGCTCGCCTGGGAATAATCTAAGTGAAGGGATTAAGCGTTTGGCTCAGAATGTTGACATTATTCACCAGTCCGACAATGGCTGGTTAATTTGTTGGATGACTGCCAAATCTGTACAGTATGAACAAATGTGACTTTTATTTGTATTTAATTTTTAAAGGGAAGTGTTGAGCACTTGACAAGAACTTTCTCTGACAAAGTCAACTCTGTGCCCTCTTTGCCTTGCAGTAACTTCCAGTCGTCGGCCATGTTTGAAGGCTCAGAGGCTGTGGAGGTGGAGGGAGGAAGCCCGGAGAGCACCGTGGCTTCATCCATCAGCGCCTGCAAGAAGGTAAAAAAGGATGCAAAATCTATCTCCCTGCGTGTCCCTCTGCTGTGTGACCCCTCCTTCTTTTTCTCTGTTCATATGCCTGTATACCCGTCCCTCATATCTGCCTCCCTGTCAGTTTATCTTCAGTGCAAGGTATTTTAATTTCCTACCCTGGGGTGCCTGCGCTATAGGGATTGTGCAATAAGAGGAACAGCTAAGCCCTGGGGTCAACACAGTGGATTTATCATCTCCCAGTGCCAACGAGACAGGAGGGGAAATAGCACAGATCAGTGGGCTGAGGTAGAGGCTAGATTGAATTTCCTTTTTAAAATTGTGTGTAGGTCTATTTGTATGCGTCTCTTACTGCGCGTGTGCGTGCAGGTGTGTCCCCCTAATTAGCCTACACCGCTCGTGATCTCAACTGACTTCCACTCGAGTGTCCAGCGCAGTCACCTGGTGATGTCTTTCTTATAATTGAACCCCGGGCCCCGCTCTCCCGTGCCAGCAGCCTTTTGATATGATCGCTCTCTGTGAGATCAGCTGAGGCTGCGTCACCTTCACCTGGCCGAGAGCCTGCACAGATGGTCTGTTCCTGAAGGGGGGGGGGTTTGTCACTAAAAATACACAGTGAGAACACGCACGTAATAGTCATTATATGTCAAAGTAGTTGCGTAAGAACTATTTTATATAGCATGTGATTTTAATCTTTTATCGGCTGTACATCGACTATCTTCTTTTACAAATAAATAACTATAAACACATGATATGGTCCGACCCAAGCACTGTGATAAGCATGAGGGCAATCTTTAATTTCACCTGTGTGAATAAATTGGCATTGTAATTGGGTTATTGAAACAACAACCTCAACAGTTTTTAATGAGAGTATGTCAGTCCATAGGACAGGGACAATTGACAAATCACTGACAAGGGCAGCTCAATGAGTCTAGGTTTCACCCCGAGGGCTTCATTGAAATATCCCTCCAGGGAGAAGGCAATACCTGTTGTATTTATACTGTGCAGTGTCTGGTTAAAGGACAGCCTGTTGATCCTGTGCCACTTCTCCTGAAATGAAGGTCAATTGATCCCAACAACAGAGGGGGGGAAAGTGCAGATGAAAGTGAATGTGCGACAGTGTGTGTGTGTGTGTGTGTCACGTGCTCCGTGTGTGTGTGTGTGTGTCTGTTCGGTGGGATTTTCACAGCGCTGCTGTACCTGAGCAAGGCTTTCTCTGTGTGCTGCAGGTCCTGTGCAGTAACAGTGTGCTGGACTCGCCGGAGTATTGGCGGAGGAATGAGAAAGCTCTGTGCAGAGTGGGCCTGCTGGACGACGACACGGAGTGCAGCTGCACCATGGTGAGTAGCATACTGTGGAACGATGACACATTCGCACACGACGTCTCTAGTGTCGAGTCTCAAAGCTGGAGCAGGAGGCGTGTCTGTGGCCTCAAACGACAGCGATGTAAATGTTTGAATTTGACATCCAGAAAGTGCACTTTGTCCAAGCTGCTTGCTCTAGGTGGCGTCTGGGCATTGAGAGGGTGAAGATGCTCATGCAGCTGGTTGTTGTTGCTCCCTTGCTGCTGTTTTGTAGGCAGCTGTTGTTCTTAAGGTTTGGAGTGTCACTTCCTATGTGTTGAGAAAATGAATGGACAAGATTTAAGGTAATACAATGACTGTAATTAGTCGTGCACCTGATCACCCAACCAGCGTTGCAGAACAGAGAAACAACCGTTTTGAGCTTTTGACTAGAGAGTCTGGTATTAAGTCTTTAAGTGCCTCGCTCATGAGTTTGATTGAAGGGAAATTACTATTCCTTCGTTCACAAATTTTCTATCATAATTCCTCTAACTGAGAGATGGGTTCTGTGAACAAAAGTCGGATTTGATTTGTGTTTTGCCTTCTTGAAAATGACTTGGAAAAGAACATTTAAATAATTGAATTTCTCACAATCACTTTGCTGCTTGCAACATAACAGAAGAGTTTCTTCGAGTAGATGTTATAAACTATGCAATTTCAAACTGCTGAAAGATTGTTAAAAGCTCAATTTAGTCTCAGCAGGCAATTTATTAAGTGAAGCGGCTTGCGGCGTCTGTTGTTGATTTACCACAGATTTAAAAAAACAAAAAACATCATCTCTGCTGTAACACAAACTCTCGAGGATTTCCATAGTTTGAAAAGTACACGTTTCAGAAAGCACGTTTAACGGACTCTGAGCCTAACCCTGAACTCTGAGTGGACTAACCCTGAGATGGGAAACTCGTGAGTTTTGATTTGCAGAACAGCTGTTCAGAGTTTATTCACTCTGAGTTGAGCTCGTATGTGGTGAATGAAAAAATCCGATTCCACGATTCCCTATAGCAACAAACAAAAGGCAGGCTTCAAGTGGACGTAGAGAGATCAATGCATGTAAGATATATATGGACTGTGCATTTGTCTTTAAAAAAAGAGCCTGAGGCAGAGAGGGACTTCTAACTGACAAGATACAGTTTACCGACCTTACTCAGGGTAGCTGACTGAAACACGACAAAGCTCAGCAGTGTGGAACAGCACTATTACAGCAGAAACGAGCACAACAGTTACGTGGACTCGGTGGCCCGTAACGTACACGGTAACAGTACAGTTAAACTTAAAACAAGCAAACAAGGTGACAAAAACACACTGTGACCTATATCTGCCCAGACAATAGCCTGTTACTTGAGATCGTTTCGTAGCGATCGGCGTGTGTTTCGTGGGACTTGTTCGGGTTGAGTTTCTCCAGCCAATGACTGGCGGGTTGAGCGGCGCGCTGCTCTACGTGTGGCAGCGGGGACATCAGCGAATGTCAACTTGAAGGAATTCCGTGATCATTCTTCTGCAGGTTAAAGTGGGGGAGCACGGGGAAAGTCACCCGTTTCTCCTTCAGGATCCAAGTGTGTGTGAACACAAAAAACATTCTGTTGCTCGTCCGGCGAGGTTAGAACTGTAACCTAAAGGGCTTTTTTGGCTACTAATATTGTTTTAAGGCTAAGGGTGGAGGTGTGCTCCAGTGGCCTTGGTGACGTCATAGCTGGTGTGTCAAAGGAACTCCCTCGTGGCTCTCATCCAATGAGGCACCAGCGTTGCGGTTTGAGCCAAATCTCACACTCGGGTGAGATTTTTAATGCCTGATGGTTGGTGCGGTTCCACAGTTTAGGCTTTCAATTTTACATGTAGGCCTCTCTCTTTGTTTCCCCAATCTCCTTGCCCTCTGTTCAGTGCATGCTGGGATAGATGTAGCAGAGATACAAATCTTTAAACACCACGACAGTCAGAAAATTATAATTAGTTGAGGGGCAGATGCTTTCTCAACCTGTAATTAGATTTGTAACCCTTAAGTTGCTGCTACATATAGTTTTTAATCATAGTGTCTTCAGTCTTGAACATTGATCTACACAATTTGCCAAAACTCTATAAGTTGTTGTCGTGTATCACAACTGTTAATAAGGAATATGCAACATTTTAAGGCAAGAAGTGGCAAATTACACAACACAGAAGATACCATAATGTAATTGGCTTTTAAAAACATAAGGAATGACGTTTTGAAATGAAAAGAAGGGGGATAATTGTCAAAACAAATTTCTCATCCGTATTTCCCTCTAAACAGAATTTGACGTTTGACAAGGATATTCTGGACAAAGAACGTGTTTGGATTAATAAGGACATTGTGTTTCGTTTACGCAAGGACTTTGGGCCTAGAAAATGCATCGGGGGAGAAAGCAAACAAATAGAGAGGCTTTTAGCTGTAGAGGACACACATGCTTAATCCTCTCTGCCGCTCAATTCTGATGTGTCACCTTTGATCACTCACTCATTGTAAATTGCAAGTTAAGCATGAAATGCATTCAGGTTTTACGTCTGTCAGTGGCTCAAAGGCAGGCTTTCGTTGGGAGGGACAACAGCCGTTTGATTCTCTAAATAAACACAAAATGAAATATTTTGACGCTGCATCAAGTCCAGCATTTTTTTTTTTATAGAAGATAACATTCAGCTAAATTTCTCCACACTAGATGGGCCTCATTAAAGACAGTAATTAAATGCACAATCTGTTCTCTCATGTCTTAAAATGAATGACACGTTCACCCTCGCTTCAGTGATAGCCTAATAATAATCTAAAGGATGCCATTCAAACTTCCTGCAGTTTGTCCTCGCCAGAAAATCATCACTTGAGGAAGAGTTGCTTTTTATTTTTAATTCTTCAGTCATGGATTGTAGCCGGCAGAATAAATACATATTGCTCCCCAAAACATGTTTGATAATCATTACCAAGGTAACAGGAATAACAGTATTTTAACAAAAAAGCACCGTTCTCACACACTCACGTCGCACTTCGTAAGTGTGAGCATTAAATGTTCCTGAAACCCCGAGACACCAGCTGTATTATCTAGGACAAGACATACACAGGTCTCCAACAGCTGTGAGATTGATCAAAGATGTTCAGTAATATTCATATCTGAGACGGCTCCCGGTATTTACTGATACAAGTTTTGGCAATACAGTACTCATTCATTAAAGTTTAGTGGATTTTCGGAAGGTAAAAGGTAAATGGTCCACACATTAGTCCAACATGCCCCGCTGACCATCAAATAGAGTCCAGTAAAGCGGATCTACGCATGTGCACCATGACTCTTTTCCTCCTCCTCATTTTTTCCTAGAAAAGCGGTTTGTGACAGCCGACATCTTGAAAACAAAGATACTTGAAAACATCCCTTCTTGTCTCTGCAGTACATGACAAACTCGTACCCGAGTCTGGGATTGTGCAGTTTAATCTTCATTGTGTTTTGTGAAAGGTAAAAGCAAAGCAGCTTCATCTTCATATAAAAAAAACCCAGTTTTTGTTTCAACAAGGACAATGCTTGTTTGTTTTCTTGACTCCGTGCATGTTTTCTATGAATCAGAGGGGAACTTCAATGCGATTGCAAACAGATGCGGCTCATCCGCCCACAGCATCGCTCTCAGACTCTGACGTGACGGATTGCTCCCCTGTCTCTCAATTTCTACGTTGGGCTTTTTATGCGAGTAATCAATCAAACAGGACCGTACGATAGATAACACTGTGCGAGAAATAAATGATTCTGTCTTGGCCTGAACTGTACAGGGAGTGTGGAAAACTGAGAGGAGGAAAAAAAGTGAAAGATAAGATGGTGAGACAATGAACGCTGATCCGAATAGAAAAACAGGTGTAGAGGCATTTTATTGTTTTCCCTTGTTGACTTCTTTAGCTTTAATGGTCGTAAGAGTATTGAGTGGAGTTTGGGGGGGTTGCTTAAATGTTAAAAACAGCTTACTCTGATTAAATTGGAAGCTGACTACAAACATTAAGTATCAATCCAAAATGAGTATTAGGTTGAGTTTTCAAAGAAATGTCTGTTTGAGGGTAAAAAACGATATACGTTTACTTATTCAGGACTTAAAGCAGAAGGCCCAAAACTGTGAGCTAAATAAAAGATAAAAGCTTTTGATTTCCTGCGTTGCGCTCCATCATCCACCTCTGGCTGCATCATGTTGTCACCTTTGATCGCTCACTCATGTTTTAATGCATGAAGTCACAGAGAAGTGTCACGTTGCTGCGATAGTCACACCGAATTTCATCACACCCCTGAGAGATGTTACAGAGAGCATTTTGAAAAGGAAGACGGCACCTTATATATATATATATATATATATATATATATTTTTCTTTGCGAAGCAAATAGTTACGTAATCTCTGTGCATCTAAATTACATGTTGCATTTACTTTTATTGATGTATCGTACCGTACGTGACAGTTAAAGATTGCAGTTTTTGTAAGAAGTGTGAGCCAATTTGTTTCAAAAGCAGAAAATGTGGTGTAGTAAACCTGCAGTATCCCTCCTCAACACTGTTCATTCCTGAAGGAGAGTGATCCATTCATCACCCGATTCAAACACTTCCCACTCGGGTAGCGGGTTGTGTCCTGACCTGGCCCCTTCCTGGCCCAGAGAGAGGGAGAACAGAATAAATATGCCATCAGCTGCGGCTGGAGCACTGAATTAAAGACAAACCCTCTTTCTTTCTTCTTCCTTTTACTCACAGTCCATCTGACATTATGAGAAACTGCAGTCTTCGGTACAAGGTTGTGCTCAAATAAAGAGACCTACTTGCTTAAAAGTAAAAGCTCTCTTCTAAAGAGCTAGGTAATAATAGTTGTGTTATTTAAAGTGAATATCTCATACCTTATATACAACTAAAATGTGTCCATAGATTCCGTGTGTGTGTGTGTGTGTGTGTGTGTGTGTGTGTGTGTGTGTGTGTG